GAAGCATATTATACCCTTAACCCACACTCAAATCACAAGTATAAAGTGTAAGGTAGTATATATCCTTAACTCTAACGAAACATACATGTTTTTGTTAGATTTCTGGTATATGCTACCTTGTAACTCAATTTTGGCTTTAAATTCTAGGGGAATTCACCCCCACTCTCAACATAGTTTTATATTAGTGTGGGGATACGGCTTCTCTTGTATTACAGGAGTCTAGCTGCTCTCGTCATGGCTTCTCTAGGGGTGTTCACAACCAGAGCCTAGTTGCTTCTCTGAAGACATTTTCAGAGTCTAGCTGCTTCTCTGGGATGCGGCTTCTCTTGTATCACAGGAGTCTAGCTGCTCTCATCATGGCTTCTCTAGGGGTGTTCACAACCAGAGTCTAGTCGCTTCTCTGAAGACATTTTCAGAGTCTAGCTGCTTCTCTCAATACCCCCGGAGTCTAGCTTATTCAAAAAATAGTAGCATAAATATATGGTAGTAAAATTGTTGGAGTGAGTAGCCCCTGATGCGCCCTCTGTAATAGGGTTAAGGATGTATGCTATCTTTCACAATATACCCGTGATTTGTGTTAGAGTTAAGGACATATGCTATACCAGGTACACATTATAAATGTACCCGTGATTTGTGTACCCCTAACCAGATCACGGGCACATGTATAATGTGTACCTGGTATAGCATATGTCCTTAATAATTTGTGTTAGAGTTAAGGTTATATGCTACCTTACACATTATTCATGTGTCCGTAATTTGTGCTAGAGTTAAGGATATGTGCTATTTTAAACATTATTATACTGGTGATTTGTATAAAAGTTAAAGGTATATACTACCTTACACCATTATGTATGTGAGTTGAGGACACATTCTTCCTTTTTACGCAATTCAAGTGGTTTGTCTCCCTTTAAAGTATTTAATGATGGTTCTTATTATTATTTAATACTTATTCATTAATCTTTCAGTGTAAATAATGCATGTATTCGTGTGTGTACCTTTCAGATGTTTCACCAATCAAATTATGATATCAAAATGACCATTCATGTCTCATTGGCGGATCTGTTCAAGAAAGGAGATCATTTCACTGTAAAGTAGCGTACATTCTTACGTATGTACCATAAGTCTCCATGTCACACTATAGTAGCATAGTACTGTTACAGTAACTAAAATATAGCATATATCCTTCAGTCTCCGTGTCACAGTAAGGTAGCATACATCCTTAAGCATAAACCTTAAGTATCCGTGTCACAATAAG